CCCAACAGACTCTGGAAATCAAACCCCAACTGAGGGGTAGCTTGTTTGCGATGAGGTCATGAAGTCAGACCCCAGGCTGAAAGGGCTCGTTCGAGGCTTGATATAAAGGAAGCAGAACTTGCTAGCTGCTTCAGAGCGAGACACGACACAGACGGCTTCCGATTTTGCCATAAGTAGTGTTAATTCCAAGATTATCGGACACCATGTTCAGGAGGAAGCACAGAAATAAACTCCAAAAAGTAAGACACAGGCATGGGTCGCATGCACCAGCAACCCATGCTCTGCATTTGTTCCGTCCTCTGCTCTCTCTGCACACCCTAGTTGCATATTAAAAAGTTTCACAACGTGCTTGTACTGTTTTTTTTTTTTCCAGAACAACTTCATCTTATGCTCCAAATAAAAGACTGCCGAATCTTCTGAGAAAAAGGGAGAAGGAAGGGAAAAAAAAAAAAAAAAAAAAGAGGGAAGGATCATCTTTGATCGTGCAATGAGCTGATTCCAAAATGTAGAAAAAAGGTAAAGAGACTTGATCGCCATGACTCTGTGTGAAACAGTGGCGGTTATAAGGAGACAATCTGGCTCTTTGTAAAGAGGTAATTTCTCCCCCACATTATTCCCCCTTTCATATAGTAATGGCTGTATTCTCCCATCATGGCAGGGGCTGGGCTGTCTTTCTTCCAGAAAATGCTCTGCTAGCTGACAGAGACCATGGAGCTGTGAAAACAGAAATGGAGGGGGGAAAGGCTCATAAAGGAGTTACTTGAGGCAACATGATCTCAGGCTACAAACAGAAGATTTAACAGGTGCCACTGACCCACAGGGAAGAGCTAGTATCTAGAATAGGACCAACGTGTTTTAATTCCTACTCCTCTTAATTTTTTTTTTTTTTTTTGGAAGTCAAAGGTCTTTGGACAGAGAAAACATGCCAAAGACTTCAGAACACCACTACTGGGCCCCTCTCCCTAGACCTCCTCCAACAGACGACACGTTGGGGAAGTAGAGACGGCCAGGATGTACAAAATCGGGTGCCTCTGTAATTTACAGAGTGGCTAGAGCTTCCCTCTACTGTCCTACAGTCAAGGCCAAAAACAAAACAAAACAAAACAAAACCAACCCAGAAAAAAGGATTTGTTTCAGTATGGAGGCTTAGGAGTCCTAAAGGCCTCGGGGAAGCTCATGTCCACGCTTTGCAAAGCAACTCTGTGAAGATGGGGGTTGGGGGTGCAGGGCAGCAGACCCAGCTCATCGCGATTCCGGGCTATGTGTCCAATGCCGGTGACGTGGATGCGAGCTATGAAAACAGAAGGCGTGGAAGACTTGTGCTGGGAGTCCAGAGGGCCAGTGTCAGGGGCCCCCGAGGCTTGGATTAGGAAGTCCCCCCGAGGACTGGTCCCCTTCTGGCAGGGCTAGGGAGGCTGTATCAAAGTTATCTGCAACAAGAGAGCTGGAAAAGGTATCTCAGTGACCCCGAGCATCTACACCACCAGTTCCCACACTCGGAGGCCTTTCAGTGACAGCTCTAGGACCCGCGGTTGTGACGCACAACAGCTGTAAGGACACAGAGTGGCACAGGCAGGCGACTGACATTAGGGCAGGATACATTGTGCACACAGAGTTAGAGCCGATTCCAGAAGAGTCTGGCAGTGATGCGCCACCATGCTGCTCACTTCAGAGGTGACGATGCAGGAACCAGTGGAAGAAGCTAGACACGTTCTGAATCTCAGACCTTCTGCTTAGAAGTCCCTACCGCTAATTAGGCACCGACGTTTAAGTGGTTTTTTTAACCATCTTTTTTTTTAAGATGTTTTCCGTGGATGTTTACTGGTGTCAGAGGATGAACGGTAAAAATCGAGTTAAGTCACCCTAAAAATAATGGTCTTTAGTGTTTCAGAGTAAGAGAAAAAAGGCATATGGTCTTCCCTGTTACTGTTCGAGAAGCCCATGTCATGCACTGCTGGTCAACAATGTCCTTCGTGTGGCCCCATCAAGTCACTGAGGGGAGCTGCATGTGTGTGTTCTCTGCATCTGGAGGCCAGGCCCCAGGTCTCAACTTTTCAGGAAAAAAGGCTTGATGTTTTAATTTCGATGGAAGTTTGAATTGCAATGGCTTGCTCTCAATGGCTCAAGAGTAGAAGAGGCCAGAGTCGAAAAAGTCATTCATTATCCTTTCATCCCTTAGTTTGTAAGTGTCCAGCAAAAACAGATCACTTCCAGGTGCCTAAAAACTATATTGGCTTGTTCAAATTTCCGGAAGAAAAACAGGAGGTCCACAGCCCAGCTAAAATGTAGAGATGCCACTGTGTCCAGGAGGTTCCAAGGACCGCATTGGACAGATGGTACGGTTGGCATGTGAGTTCCTCACTCCCCCATTGGAGAAAGGCCAGCTGACCAACTAGTCTCAGGGAAGAGTGGAGCTTACAGGGATCTTCAATCACGACCCACTCTCATCTCCTCGGAGGGAGGGAGCAGCTAGGTCTGGGAAGGAAATCTTGCCAGTTGGTGGCAAAGACAAGACTAGAGCCTCGTTTCCCCATTACTCTTCATATCCGTTATTCTGACTCCAAAATAAAAATCCTTTTGAAGACACAGTAAGACTAAAGATTGCTAACGAGGTGGTTCTTAGAATTTTCTAAAATCCTACTTGCCTGACTTATATCCCCTCAAATGCATGTATATGCAAAGTGAAAATGCGAATCTGTTAATCCCATGTTAGGATCAAGGTGCTTTTCAAATGCTCTTACCTTCTCTTGGTTGTACTTGGAGGACCTCATCTGAGGATTTTCTGCAAGTTCTTTGGCTATGGCTGAACCAAGAATGCCTTTTGAGTTCTCATGAAATGACTGTCAAAGTCAAATCAAAGTCAGTTTCAGTCGAGAACCCATTCGGCCAGGATGGAAACACTATGTCGCTTTAGGACCTTTGAGGGTGTGGGTTGGTTTCAAGTCTTGCTCAGGGGGCAGGTTCAGGATGTAGCTGAGCCAGCAGCGAGTAACTTTCAGAGTCAACTCTTTAGAAGGGGCAATCTGCAGAATCAGGGTGGACACTGGGTCTGGCTGCTGTCTGAAACCCTGCCCAACGCAATGACAGGCCCCAAACCCACTGACGCCTGTGGGGTTTCAATCAGATGCCGTGTTCTGGGCTGGTGTCAGCCCTACGATTTTGAAATGTTTTGTGATAAGGGATTAAACTGCTGGATTTGGGTGGCAGGTTTGCAAATCACCAGAAAAATCATAAGAGAAATGTACTGTGTGTGTAAAAAAAATAAGGTGACCCTATGTTTGATGATGTAGAATATCGTACATGGATCCTAATCGTCAAGATTCGTGCGGAGATTTCCTACGGTATCAGAGTTCAAGTTGTATGATCTGGCCTGTATCTTAGAGTCCAGGTAAGAAATGCAGCAGCTTGTACAATAACTACATGAACTCGAGACTCGTCTCTTACCATTTATCTTTACAATAACATATGTACGAAGCAATGCAAGTTATGATCTGGTTCCTCTTCCAACGACACACATCATAAAAGCAAGACAAGTGGACAAATTAAACAGAAGCACAAAAGCAAACGAGGGGACTCATGATCCCTTCAACAGGGGACATTCTCAAGTCTAACCTTGCGATTCCCCTTCCTCCTTAACTTAAAATACACACGCTTTGGTGGCCAGAGGGTAGAGGTGTGACTATAAAACAACGATCTTGACTTTCAAGAGTGAATCATGGAACTAGCTACACACATCTTAATCTGAATCCTTCTCTACAGCCTGTTTTTAAGCAGGCTCCATGCCCAACGTGGAGCCCAATGCGGGGCTTGAACTCACTGCCCCGGGATTAAGACATGAGCTGGGATCAAGAGTCGGACGCCTAACTGAGCCACCCAGGCACCCCTACAGCCCGTTTCATATAAAACTCATAAACAAAGGAAGGAGGGACTGACTGAAGTGAGTTTGGTGAGAATCAACACAGAATTCTGAGAAGAAATCTACTTCTTCTAATGTCACGAAACTCACGATAATACATCAGACCCAGAGGCTCAGAGTCTAGCCAATGAACAACCCTCCTGATCCTGGAAAACTTGTAAAGAGGGCCAACTACACAAATCAGCATTCAGAACCCACTAAATCTGATTTTAAAATACTATGTTTCATATTTGAAAGACATCTGAAAATTGAAAATAATTTCCTAATATCCAAGAATCTCTTACGGAGAGTTATTCCGGACTAGGGAATGGGAACCCTGCATTCGTTAAGGCCTGAAGTACTGTTTGTCTTCTCGTCTGTGAACCCTTCAAATCTCAAATAATAATGAACTTTGAGCTCACTTTAGCAATACCTTCCTCTGAAACCTCGCTGTTAGGAAGAGCTTTCTGGAACAACACACCATGTGATTTCCCTCCCTCGGCACAGAAAAGGAAAGTCACGTGTCAGCCAGATGTGTGTTTTCCATGCTCATCCTTTTTAATAAGGTGAGCTAGTTCAAGGGCTCTTGGAGGCAGCCCCCAGGCGTTGCCAAGGGAGAAGCATGTCCCTGGGCCGTGAGGAGTGGGCCCCTTCTCTGGTGGCAAATCCCCCAGGAGTGAGTCCAGTCTTGCCCATGGCATGAGAGGGACCCGCGCAAGGTGTTGCCACGGCCCGTGGAAGTGTGTACTCCCCTGCAACTAATAAACACCGAGATGGAAGGAGCATCCTAGACATACTTCTGTTTTTTTTTTAAATGTAGGAGGACACTTGGCTAAAACTTTTGCACACAGGTGAGTGAGGAGTTTTCTCACTGCCCCAGGCCAGAGAACGGCAGCGGCCCGGCCCTGAATGGACGGTTCCCGGTCGTGTGGCGGTGGCAGGAGTGGCCAAGTAAGCTCAGGAGAGAAATAAAAGATTGTGCACAGAGAGACAGAGAAGCGCCACGTCTCTAGACGGCAAAGGCTCATGCACGGTGAGTAAGGGAGAAGCCAAGCATGGTGCGGTGCCCGCAGACTCACAAACGCGGGGCTCTGCTGTGACCGACCTGCCGTGGCTCTGCATGTCCCCCAGCTCCTTCTGCAGCCTGGCGTTCTTCTCCTCCTCCTCCAGCAACCTCCTCTTCACGGTACGCAGCTCCTGCTGAGCCTCACACTTGATGTCGTTGGCCACCACCACCGCTGTCTGCAGGTCCGCCTGGAACCGCCTCCATTCCTCTGTCTCCTCCTGAAAATGCCAGAAGCCACGCCTGCGTCAGAGGCCGGCCGGGGCCCGTGTGTGGGCAGGGGCCCCAAAGTCCCCCACGTCAGGCAGCCCTTAGTGAGTCCTGCTTCAGTGCCGTCCCACCACTGGGAAAAGGCCCGGCCCGGCTGGGAAGGACACTCTGGTGCTATTAGCGTTTCCTGAAATTGAGAGGCTGCTTTGATTTTGTTTCCTGCCAACACTACTCTGCGGTTCCGGGGCCCACGGGAAGGTACTGAGAGAGCAGGCTACAAGAGTCAACAGGGTCTTCTTCGAAAGGTTCCAAACCGAAGGCGGGGACGCGCTTAGTAAAATGACAGAGAAGGCTCCCTGTTCCCTGCTGTAGCCATATCTCACCTTTATCTGCTTAGTCAGAGTCTTCAGCTGCCTTTCCAGGTCTGACTTCTGTTCCTCCAGCTTCATCACGTTGCCTGGAAATAAACAAGTCAGACAGGAGTTGGAAAAGGCGCCAGACTCTTGGGAGAAAGTAAGTGAGGTAGTGAGGGAGCAGCTCCAGGTTTCAAATCCATCCCTTCTGCTATAAATTCTATCCTCAGCACCCTGAAACCTGGCAGCTGGAAACTGGAGGTTCTTCCAACACAGAAAATGGGATGGTTTGGGGAATAAGTGGTGTTGAGTTAGGTTATACTCTCAGATGGAACAGTCAGGCAGCACTATGGGAAGAGGTCTGAATAGTCACTCGTATTGATTGACACCCACTCCTGGCCCCCCTGGTGGTCGCATATTATGGTCCTGAATGTCCTTTTTCGCTGTGAGGTAGAGGGCTTTTGTATAACAGAGAATATGACTGGTTATTACTACGGTGGCTTTTAGACCAGTTGCTAGAGTCGTGGTTTTTAATTGTAGTTAAACCAGAGAATCACACCTGGGAAGCCTCTCAAAAGCACACCTGTTCAAAGCCCCAGACTGTGACCCACAGAGCAGGAACACCCACGGGAAGACAGGATCTTGGGTGGGTGCATTTTAACAGCTCCAAAGGTGACCTGACCGCTCTCCCTAATTAAGAATATCCTCAGTCCCCTTCTCTCTGTGCCTCTGATTCTTCCATGTTGCTACCAGAGTCATTTCAATTTAAACCTGATCACGTCCATTACCTACTTAAAAATCTTCAGTGGTTCTTTATGATTCGTTCCAGGGCAGTAGCTGTCTATTAAGGATATGAATCAGAATTATCAGAGAAGCTTCAAAGAGAATAAACGACACACAGTCGGGTCCCACCCCAACCATTCTTTTTTTTTTTTTTTTTTTAAAGATTTTATTTATTTGAGAAGGAGAGAATGAGAGACAGAGAGCACAAGAGGGAAGAGGGTCAGAGGGAGAAGCAGACTCCCTGCCGAGCAGGGAGCCCGATGCGGGACTCGATCCCGGGACTCCAGGATCATGACCTGAGCCGAAGGCAGTCGCTTAACCAACTGAGCCACCCAGGCGCCCACCACCCCAACCATTCTAATTCAGCACGTGGGGCCTGAGAATCTGTGTTTGGGGTCAATGCGGCAGAATAAGAAATCACTCCTTCACTTCTTTTTACTTTTCTGTCCATTTCTCTCGAGGATCTTATAGGGAGGAGTGACTGGTCTCAGGCTGGATTTGTGTGTCCCTGGGCCTCCTAGTGAAAAGACATCTTAGTACTACCTCAACACCCTGGACAGAAGTTAAAAAGCTTCTCAAAAGACAGCCAGTCTATGTTATTTTCGATCTTGGATATGTTAGGATACAACCGTGTGATAGGAATGGTGTGATATCTGCTCTGGACATTAATTATAAGCTGGCTTTCTTAGTGGGGTTGTGCTTGACTTTTAAGGATTTGGGGACAACACAACCAAATTCTCATGAGCAATATATCACAGAGACAAAGCAAAACCAGACTTCTCTTCTTTGACTTTATATGCTCTTCAAGTATGGTGCTGTTTGGAAATATACACTGTCAATGGTGGTGGGTTTTAGTTATCTTCTCAGGCGTAATTACTGAGAACTATCTAAATGATGCTGACACAGAATGCTGATGTTCTGTAATTCTGCTGCGTATCACATCCAGTGAAGGATGGAACTCTGGTGCTAACCAAGCAATCAAGGTGTGGAATATACAGTCAACTCTCATTATTTGTGGCAGTTACATAAAGTTGCCATGCACGCCGAATTCGCAAATACTGAACTTTGCTCCTACGGGCAATACAGGGTTCGGTTCCTGCAAGCCTCTGATCACAATATTTTTATTAAAGGAGACACTACTTGTGTTATACAGGTTCGTTTGCCAGTGTCTTTGTAAAAAACAAACAAACAAACAAACAAAAAACAAGCCTGTCCCACCAGTGCTGGAAACCTGCTTACCCACATAACCCTTTTCCTGCATAACACTCAGTAAGTATTTTAAAAATTCTTCAGCAGCCTCCTGATAGAAAGAACCTGCCTCGCCTAAAAGTTTTTACCTTTTCTCATGCTGTGATGCCTTCCAAGCCTCAAAAGCCAGCCAGCACCGGCTCCAGAAGGGTGTAATGCTTTCCTAACCCTGGGAAACATGACTGTAAAATTCTCTGGTTTTTAGTTGCACAATAATGTAGTCCGCTTTTTTTTTTTTTAAGCCAGACATCATCTTGTGAATCCGCAAATATAGCTGCTTTTCAATCTTTTCCACATCTTCGTCACATGCCACAGATTTTACTTCAGCATTTTCCAGAGTGGCGAATTTCATCTTTCTTTCTCTGGAAGTTTTCGTTAACATTGAACTCACAGCCAACAGTACTAAAACTCGTGCTTGAATAAAGCTCATCTAACACTTATTTTCTCCATTAGGCACATCCCGGCTTTCTAGCCATAGGGACCCCAGACAGCATTTCAGGACTACATTTAGGTGCCACTCTATACAGTAAAATAGCCAAAAAAAAAAGGACAAAAATAATTGGGGAGACTAAAATTTTTTGCCGCGCTCTCTGCGCATGTCTGCAAATGACATGAGAAGTGCCGTGTTGATTTGGGGGTTACAAATAAATTCTGGCAAGCAGGTGAATTCCCAGATATGGCTTCCACAAATAATGAGGATGGGCTGAACAAGTCGGGGAACTTTTCAGGCAACCAACCAACTATGCTATTTTTAGCAATGGTGAGTGTCACCAAAAGCTCTGTGCATTACTTCCTTTGTGACAAAAGCAAAACACATTAGAAGTGATAATTTGATAAAGCTTATTTGGACAAAGCAGGCAATGTTTAATCCCTTCTAATGTCTTTCCCTATTCAAAGCGAACAACGAGTTCATAAAGAAGCCAAATATTGGAACCTCTTTGGTGATGAAGTGGCCAATCTCTAGAAGTTACTTGATATCCTGGCTTAATGGGACACAAGCTAGAACTGTTTTCTCCCTAGCCCATTGTTCAAATCCATCTGACCATCTGTCACCTGTCTTCCTACCCGTCGGATCCAAAAGACAACGCTCTGTCAATACCCGACGGGCGTGGGCAGTGGTGTGGCTCACACACAGTAGACCTAACACTCCAAAATGTGTTTGCTCTTTTTCACAATCACCCCGTGCTGCTGACTCGCGTTCAACAATCTTTCCTTCCACACCACCCACTTTTCCAGTTAAAGAGGTTAATCATTCTGCCTTTCTTGACTGCCATTCTTTTTTTTTTTTTTTAAAGATTTTATTTATTTATTTGACAGAGAGAGACACAGTGAGAGAGGGAACACAAGCAGGGGGAGTGGGAGAGGGAGAAGCAGGCTTCCTGCAGAGCAGAGAGCCCGATGCGGGACTCGATCCCAGGACCCTGGGACCATGACCTGAGCCGAAGGCAGACGCTTAACGACTGAGCCACCCAGGTGCCCCTTGACTGCCATTCTTCCTACAAGACTGCCAAATATGAGGAAGGAAGACTTTTCACAACCATTCTCATAGACCCTCCCAGGCATTCGGTTCACATCGTGCTCACTCCTGATCCACGTCTGACCAGGGCTCGAGTTCACTTACTCTCTAGCTCACTAATGAGCTGGTTGTTATGTAACTTGACAGCCCGATGCTGTTCCACCTGATCTTCCAATTCAAATATGGTTTCCTTCATGTCTTTAATCTCCGCATCACTCTCTGACGCTTTCTCTTGCAGTTTCAGGCTGGTTCGGCTCAGTTGTTCTGCTTGATGATCACATATCTCCTTCAAGTAAGAATAATCCTTTTCCACCTAGAATGAAAGAAAGGTTGCCTGGTCAGTTTACCAGGAAAGAGTTCCTCACCCATCAGCATCAGGCTCATCCATGCAACGGTGGAGGAAGCTCTTGGCATGTGCTATACCTGGTATAATTTCTGTATTCTTAGCCTCGTAAATAGCCAAGGCTATAAATTTACAGAGAAACGTGACTAAATCTGCAAACGGCCAACTATGGTGGAGCCTGTGTCCCTCCCTACAGGCATGAAGGAAGCTGCAGGTAGTTAGGTGCCCTGCGGTCCTGCGGCTGGGTGCAAGAGCGCTTCCCTGGAAGGCTCTGGTACTGCACCCGGAGCGTTGGCCTGGATGCTGGCGGGAGGCTCCCCTCCTCACATCTGCTATGGAGCAGCGCCCTCTGCTGGGGAATCCAGGAACAATGCCCCCGAGACCCGACCGATCCCCTGCAAACGCCAAATGTCTTTAGCCATAAGGTACTAGCAGGTACAGTGTTTCTTTAGAGAAATGCGACATTCATGTGACGGAGAACACCAGCTAAAGGCACAGAACTGAAACATGGGCATGCACCAGACACAGAGAAGTGGCACAGGACAGGCACTCATTTCACCTTTTCAATTCTGAATCATTAAACATTTTAAATACACAGAAAAGCACCCAAAGTGACAAGATAATAACCATGTGCCCAAACGGACTTCACAGTGATTATAATTTGCCACATTTGCTAAATATTTTTACTTTAACAGGATTTAAAGTCCCAACCTTCTCTCCTGCCCCAGAGAGTAATTCACATTATCCGAAAAGTGGTGTGGTTGTTGCCTGAACGGTTTTTCACTTTTACTGCATGTGAATGTGCCCGTGATAATACATAGTATTGTTCTGTTTAAAAAATTTATTTTATTTTTTGTTTTATTTTTATTTTTAAGTAATTTAATCTCTGCACCCCACTTGGGCTCAAACTCACAACCCTGAGGTCAAGAGTCACATGCTCTGACTGAGCCAGCCAAGCGCCCCATTTTAAAACTTTCATACAAATCATATTATACTGTAATTATGCTTTTGCAGTATACTGTCACACACTGTATTATACGGTAAGATGCTTTTGTCCTGTACTATACTATACTTCTTATGTTCTTGTAAAACTTTTTTTTGTAAGATTTTTATTTATTTGAGATAGCGATAGAGAGCATGAGAGGGGGGAGGGTCAGAGGGAGAAGCAGACTCCCTGCTGAGCAGGGAGCCCAATGCCAGACTCGATCCAGGCACTCCAGGATCATGACCTGAGCCGAAGGCAGTCGCTTAACCAACTGAGCCACCCAGGCGCCCCTGTAAAACTTGTTTTTAACCGTGTTTTTGAGATGTAGCCACACTGATATCCACAATGTTCTGTCATTACTTTAAATGTTTCGTAGTATTCTGCTGTCAGAAAATACCAATTATTTTAGTATGAACTCTGCCCCTTTTCTACAGTCCTTTAATTCATGTCACCAAATAGCTATATATTTACTAACTAACGTAAGGCTGGTACCTGATACATGTCTTCCTAGATTTGGGGGCATCTCCGTATACATGGGGGGCCCCCGAGTGAACATCCGACGAATGGATCAATGGACACCGGACAGCAGGACCGCACTGTTTTTCAGTTGGGATGTTGTGATCGGGAATAAAGAAGGAAGGAAGGAAAGAAACTGGGGGGAGAATGAAGAGACAACCAGCATGGGAAAGAACCAGAGCACGCCGCCTAGCTTAAGGGTGTGCACTGGTCTGTGAAACTGATATTTCAGTTATAAAGGTGCGTGGCTCCATACTGCACTAATGCGTCATTGTAGCTGCCGCGGGACATCGAGGGGCCCGGACTAACCTGGAGCCAGACCGCCAGACTTTAAATTCCAATTCTGCCCCCCTAAGCTGTGTATACAACATTAGATGACAGTATAACACAGGTCCAAGAGAACTACAACACGTGAGCCAGAGCCAAAGTCTTCGACCGGACGATAGCTACATAACAAACACAAGATGACTTTTAAGGAGAAAGGAGGCAACGTGTTTTACCTACGAGAACGTTGACGTCCGACAGCATCTGAAAAGCAGCCAAGGTGGGCGGCTTGTCAGCCCTGCCTCCTGAGTCAGACCGCGGCTTTCTGCAGAGCTGGCCGGGCTCCGTGTCAGGGAAGCCTCGGGCTGAGGGCCTGCTCACCTGGCATCTAGAAACATGCATGTTACTTGGGTGGGACTACTGTGGGCCAGGAGTGAAACTGGAGGGTGTAACCAGGGAACCAGAAGGATGAACACCCCGAGGTGGGGGGGGGGTCTCTCCGTACAGCTGAGGCTGCTGGCCCCCCCAGGGCCCTGACCCAGCTTTACTCCCTTCGTGTTGGCTTGTCATGATCACAAGCACCAAATGGTAAGCAGAGCGGTGGGGAGGGGCCGCTGGGATGTGTGCTGCAGACGGCTGGGGCCACTGAACCTGTAAGTCAGTATGCTGTTTCAAATCACACACATCACTCTTCCTTCTTAATTTGGGAATCATTCTCTCAAGTTTAGCAATATATTCCAGAAAGCTCTCTTATGAAAACCACCACCACCACCACCACCACCAACAGAAACCCTTAAGTAACTTCATAATTTCTGCCTGCAGGAGCTTGCTGGGTAATAACAGGCAGCTATTTTCATATTCATTTTACAGATTAACAAATGGAGAGAGGGAGAAGTAAAGCCACTTGAAAAGAGTCCAATTTATCAGGTAGCTAGGGCCAGCACCTTGTACTGCCATGACCCTCTGGAGTTCTACGTTGCCGTCCACAGGACCGGCCTTCCCACTGGCCAATCTTTTCGTTCAACAAGCACGCTATCAGACAACCAGCAAGGTGATTTCCAATGTCTCCTTTTCAGAAAAGAAATCCCTTTCACGCATTCCAGGGACGACCTCTCATCTTCAAAAATCAACTTGCTCTAGACATGGGGTGTGCAGAATTGCATTACAAACAGAGTCAAATGAATTTCCCTGGGGAGCCCCAGTCCTTCCTGGAGAGGGGTGGTTAGAGCCAGGCCCAGAGGCAGATGGCAGCAGAGACCACTAGGGACTCCCCCACCCTGCAGGGCTCAGCCCGGTCTCCAGCCTTCCAGGATGGGGGACACAGAGACAGGGAGAGCGGCTCTGAGAAGAGATGGGGCGAGAACCTTTCCCCTGGTTTGTGAGACGCTGAAACTGAGGAAAAGGTTATCTTCGAGGGTCCGCACTCCCAGGCACTGGAAACTACTCGCGTCACTTCCAGGGCCGGGCCAACTTTCTGGCCTGAGAACTAGATGTTCTCTTCTGGCCACATTCCTGCTGTCTCCACCCCACAAGCTTCCCTGGTGACCTCCTACTCCCCTCAAGATCCAGGTTGTAAATCAAACAGAAGAACATGTCCTGATGACTCAGGGCTTCACTGTGAATTTCTCTATTGTGTTCTAATCAAGTAAAATTCTCCTCGTTCACTGAGACTTGAAAGGTGGTTTTCTCCCGACCAAAACTCTTTGTCCTTAAGACTACAGTGTGTCGGGGTCCTCAGGTCCGCCTTGGATGTTTTTCTATCTCTTCACTGCCACGTAACCAGGAAGCAGCACAAATCAGTGATGAGGGGTAAGAGTTCTGGGGTCAGACCCCGCTTTGAACCCTGGCCTTCGTCAATTCATCAATTTCGCTAGTCGCCCAGCCATTCTCTGCCTCAGCTTCTTCAGGTGCAAAAAATTAGACAACGACAATATCTCTAGCATAAAATTATGATTAAATCAGATTAAATGATCTAAAGGTTGAAGAGTGCCTAGCACATATAAAGCCCTAAAACATTATTATTAAAATATGATCATAAATTTTACTTTTTAACATATTCATAGCATTATAGCAGCTTCTCCCCTAATTCGGTTACAAGTGTCTCTAACATTTACTCATTTATTCAACAAGTATTCCCTGGATACCTAATATATGGAAGAAGTCACAATGTTAAAATTACACAGCTGATCCGTGAACAAGGGGAAGGGGGCGGTTAGGGTCACGAACCTCCCCACCACAGTCAGAAATTTATGACTTCACTAAACCGGAACTTTTGGCTCCACCAAAACTTAACCACTAATAGCCTTCTATTGACTGGGAAGCCTTATCGATAACATAAACAGTGGGCTGACATATATTTTGTATGTGATATGCATTATGTACTGTATTCTTACAATAAAGGAAATGAGAGAAAAGAAAATGTTATTTAGAAAATCATAAGGAAGAGAAAATACATTTACAGTACTGTACTTGCTGGAAAAAAAAGCCCACATACACAAGGACCTGTGCTGTTCAAGGGTCGGCTGTATAGAACGTCAATAAACTTGGAGTGATTGCTTTAGTAACTTCACCAGGAATAAGAATGTGTTATTTTACCAAAAACTAATGATGTAATATATGGTGATTAACATAACAATAAAAAAATTTAAAAAAAAATTAAAGAATGTGTTATTTTTGTTGCGTTTGTTTTTACATCTAACTTGGTTCCTCCAAAACTCCTTTTGCTTAATTCTTGGCCCTGTTCCGAATATATACTGCTGATGGAGAGCCATATTTCATTCATGATGGCCAAAACTTAAACTTTTTTTTTTTGGTAATGCTGCCCTGCCAAGGTAGAGGAGAACATGCTAATTCAGTTTACACTTTTGTTATGGAAAAAGAAAAATGGCTATAATAAACACTCAAAGAAGAGGGTAAAAATCTGTATTTCACTTTGGGAACTTCCTAGATTTTCCAGATGAATGCTCACAGAGGGGCTTCCCGAGTGCTCACCCAGGAGAAACAAATGCTGGGGCTTCGCAGACAAGTCCTAAGGTCAAGTGAAGGGAAGAATGGTGTTCAGGCGTAACGTCAGGAAAGATATGAACATGTCTAAAGGGAAAAATGGGCCCCTCAGAAGGGAAGGGGGAATCAGCCCAGGAATTCCAGAAAGGGAGAGCCCACACTTGGGTCTACGGGAGAAGCAGCGCCCCCTCCTCTGAGTTAC